GTGATTCATTTCCTTAGTTTGATAAAGTTTCTTTTGTTATATATATTGCACCGAAAACCATAATAATAACCGTGGTGTCCAAGTCAACTTTCACGCAACTCGAATAATTCCACGGGATATCTGTCACCATCCACCAACAACAGATTTCCAGCAACAACAGAAATGGGAAGAATCACCTAGTGTTTTTGCCACTAACTTACTCGGAAAGCAAACTACTTCCTAATGGAATTCTTCAGGTCCTAAAACAGCAGGCCCCAACCAATTCGAGGTTGAAACACAGTAGAGTGATTAACACTATCTTTGTTTGTTTAGTTGGCTTCTTCAACCACTTTTCAGATGCATCGTTCGTTCAATTTTTCAAGGGAATAGATTTTCGATTATCAAAAAGGTGAAAAATACAATCTAACACGCATAAAAAGCAGAAATTTTTCATACCCAAAGAACAGAACATAAAAAGCAGGCAAAAGTGCAATACCTCAACAGGTTCAGGTTTTTTTTCAGATTCATTGGAACCCACAAAAGACTGAAGAGGAGCAGTGGTTGCATAGTAATCGTCATCATCTTCATCATCAACATCTGCCCAAGATTTCACCGTCAACGGCGCCGGAGCCCACAAAACTTCCGGCTCCTGTTCCTTCTTCGACGTCCCTTTACTCTTCTCCTTATCAGATTTCTTCTCCTTCCTCAGAGTATCAAGCGCCGCAAATACATTGGAATTCTTCACCATCACAGACCCTTCTTTACTCCCCATCATTTCAACCAAGTAAACCCAATATTTCTTCTTCAATTTAGGGTTTGGAGAAGTTGTTGGATCAGCAGATAACAGAGACTGAGAAAGAAGATGGAGGTTTTATATATATATCAATATATTTTATAATTTTTATCAAAGAGACACCAATTTTATGTATAATTGCGCAATTATGCAACATGCTTTCTTAATTACCAAAAAAAAAAATGTAGCATAACCTTTCCACAAACTATACAATTTATGCGGATTCAGAATTTGAATTAGTTCATTATCAAAAATTTATAATTATTTAGTAGATTCGTTCGAAAAGTATGAATAAAAATGAATGAACTTTATATATTTATAAATTAAAAAAAAAAATTGTCACTCTAAACAAAGTGTAATATTTTCTATGTATTTGATTTCAAAAATGGGCGTAGAACTCAACTCAAATGGTTCTTTAAATACAATATTATCATTTTTTGGAATTATGCATGTGTGCTAAAAATAACTTCATTTAATAATATTTGTTTATGATCGTTACTAGCAGTTATTTATTTCTCTTTCTTGTCGTTTTCGATGCGGTCATTGTCCGTTGTCCCTCAATTAACATCTCAAATTCAGAATCTACCCTTTTAGATTCTCCTATCTCTTCAAGTTTCCAAGCAGGTAGGTCTTCGTATGTTACCATTCTATTGTACCCTCCAAATTCAGCTAATTGAAGTAGACAAATTCTGATAGTAGCTAGAAGAGTCGTTTATAATGAGATGTCGGCTATGATTTTCAAGACATAAAACTACTATGAAGGCATGGTCAATTTGTGTAGAGACAACAATTATTGATCGATTTCTAAAATTAAGGCTCCAAATTAACAATGGTTAGGTCAATATTTGTAAAAAAATTATCTTACTACAACGATCAGTTAAAAGTTAAAAGTCTAGAGTATGTGATAATTTCAACATTTTATTAACCTTTAATAACAATAAAGATTTCAATGTGATGTCATAGAAGAGGGTGATTGATATTGAAGATTATCGAATTTGGCTACAAAAATATACTCTGAATTTCAAGTTATGGGAGAAAATTATAATTGTTCAATAATGTCCTTACTAAGTTTGTCCTTTCACATGCACACATAGAATTATGCTAATAAATGAGAAAAATACATAATCATCCCATGAAATTTTATATTTTTTTTGAAGTAGACACTTTAAGTTTGTAAAAGTCATATTACCCCACGAAATTATTTCGAATCACAATAAATACACCATTTTAACAGCATTTGCAATCTCATTACCAGTGAGTGTGTCTCGCCCCAAATGAAACAATGTAACTTTATTTTTTCCTAGCCTTTTAATAAAGGGTTGGGTAAAACCCAGACCCGTTCAAAATCTTGACAAATTTCTTTTTTATCTTAAACATTTTGTACACAAATCATGATGAAGAAGAACATTGTGATGGAGAATTTTAGAAACTCCATTGCAGATGTTTGTAGAACTTTAACAGTGACTGATAGAAGAAGCTCCATTATTGGAGAGTTTCATAGTGACAACGCAAATGACATCTTCTTTGTTTATGGGTACACAAGAATGTGATCAAGTTAAGTAAGCAATACGGGCTCAATGTGATCAAAACCCTTTTCGAAGAAACAGGGAAAGAACGACGGATGCATCATATGACCTTCATCGATCTATCAGTTATCAAACACTAAATGGTACAAACATGCATTCGTCGTTGCAGTCCAAGGTGTATTCTTCAACTCATTCCTATTTGGCGTCACCAAAATTGGCTAATCAGATTGTTGGGTGCTTAGAGGATGAAGCAGTGAATTTGCAAATAGAGTTTTTTGATTGATATAGAGAAGAGACTTTTTGAGAACTCTGCCAACTCCAGAAGTTCATATGGCATCTCACAACGTTTATAGATTGAATTATTGGATTGACAGAAGATAAAAAAAAAAGAATGTACATGGAGAGCTCTTCAATGGCCATCAATGGGGGTTTGTGGAAGATATAAATTGGTCTATTTAATAAAGTAAAAAAAATTAAATTGGTCACACCACATGGCACTAAAACACTGGTATAGGGGTTAATTCTTAGTACTGACGCGCCTCTCAAACGTGAAATTGCACATACTCTGAAAATGAGTTAAAAGGGTGTATTTTTCATAGTTAAAAGTAGATTCGTGAGATAATAGATCTCTCGCAAACTTTAGGTGTCTACTTTAAAAAAAGGTATAAATTCCATGGCGTAATTATGTATTTTCTCGCTAATAAATAACTGATGCAGTGAAATTTTTCACTGAACTTGATATAGCCACAAAAATTAAATAGGTCAAATATGACTAACATGCAAGATAGATTTGTTGAAACCTTTGGATCATAGTGTGTGTTTGTACAAAAGAAAATAATCCACTAACATATATATGTATATATATATATATAATCATTTATATTGGACTAATTCTTTTGTTAGAAAAAGAAAATTTGAATTTTTATAAATTGAGGATCCAACAAATCACAATGTAGTTCGTTAGGAGATTTGAAGAGGGCTTGTTTAGGGGAGAATTATATATATATATATATATATATATAATCATTTATATTGGACTAATTCTTTTGTTAGAAAAAGAAAATTTGAATTTTTATAAATTGAGGATCCAACAAATCACAATGTAGTTCGTTAGGAGATTTGAAGAGGGCTTGTTTAGGGGAGAATTAGTTCTCTCAATACTTTTATATTAGTAGATTGTTTATTTCGTTTCATATGTATGTAGATCAATAAGAAAACTATGTTAAATTATTCTCTCTTTTCTCCTTTTCTCGATTTTTCATCGCTTAAGATTTACGTTTTAACTTTTGCATGACATTTAACTATTCCGATCCTAGCAAAATCCGTCTATTTCACAAGAGACACCTATTTGTAAGGGGATAGAATTGTGTTCACTCATATCCTCTTAAATCAGTATAACTTTGTGCTGTTTCTAGAAATGCATGCGCATGACAATTGTCTGCTTCTACGTTACGTAGCACAATTTCCTCGAAGAAACATTATCAACTACCTCTATTTTGTTCTACATACATACATGACAACATTTTACATTACTTAAGAAAAACAATAAACTTAAAACAACATTCTTTATTAGTAATTAATTCATTATGAAAAAATACAAGAAAGGAAGAGGTTAGTGTTAGTTGACTCCTACTAATTCAATGATTAAGGCTGTGTTTATGAATTATTTCAAGAAAATATTTTCAAAAACATATGACAGTTCTCAGTTTTGGCATGACTTTTTTAAAATGTAGAATGCAGTCAAGCTGAGCTTCCACATTCAATTAAACAATTCAATGAATTGTATAAAATACGGTGTTTTTTCCACAGTCAAGTTGGTACCAATGTTGACACCCAATTTTGGCCTAACATTTTCAAAAATTCGCAAATTTTAAGTTTTATTTATCTAATGGTTCAATTTTTTTTTTTATAATTTTAAATAAGTTTATCGATAACTATCTTTATTTGTCAAAATGTAGGGTTTTTTATCAGTTAATTTTAAAATTACATTTTTTACATGTCATTAGTATAGGGGTGTGCACTATTCGGATTAAATCGAATAACCAAACCAAATCAAACCGAATTTTTATTTGGATTGGTTTTTTGGTTTTTCGGATTGGTTTTGGATTAATAAATTACTTTGTTTGTTTTTTTGGTTTGGTTTTGAATTTTAAAAATAAAAACCAAAAAACCGAAAAAAACCAAATATATATAATGTTTAGGCTTAGAATTAAGTTGGAGTTAACCACTTTTGTCCCTTTTTGGTTTATTGCCTTTCATGATGATTACGTTTATATTTTATGTTTGAATTACATCTATAATAGGTATACTTATAAGTATTGTGTTTTAAATTTTACTTATGATTTATATTAGAAAGTATATTTAAGGGATTAAATATTATTACTTTGGTTATATATGTTATTAATTATTGACATAATCGAATAACCAAACCGAAAAAAGCCGAACCGAATAGAGGAAAACCAAACCAAACCAAATTTTATTTTGGATCGGATTGGGTTACATTTTTACAAAACCAAAAACCGAAAATCCAAACCGAATAGTGTAAAACCAAACCGAAAAACCGAATGCACACCCCTACATTAGTACGTGCATTATATTTATTTTAATTCATTTTATTTGTTACATTTGTTAATATTGATATTTTGCATAATCTAAAAAATTCATTCAAATACAGATATTTTACTTGATCGATAATTTTGGGCTACAATCAGAAGCCCAAAAATTGAGCCCATTTAACAATTATTTTCTATATAGATTTTGGTTAGGTTAAAAAATAGGGGTGGTGAATTTATTTTTTAGAATAGGGTTGTAAAATTTACAGATTTGAATTCAAAATGGGCTCTACTATTCATTAACTTTTCGGTCATCACCATCCCGGATTCCGGCTAAGCTCCGGCAACTCTAAAACCCTCTTCTTTTTCCCCTTTTTCCGGTGAAATGGTCACCGGAAACAACCCCATTTCCCCTTTCCTCGTTTCCAGCAACTACCACCCAAAAACCCCACTCCAAAACAACCATTTTTCCTTACCAGACCCACACAGCAGCAAACAACACACCAACAGACCCAAAACCAGCCAAACGATCCCCACACTACCTATTTTATTCCTTTTCCAGATCCACTGGCGAGCTCGAAGCTCGCCACCTCCAAACCACCCCGTTTCCCTCTCCCACCAGACCAAAACCCCCTTTAAGTCAATCGCCACAGCCTCATAAACCAGCAACCAAAGCTCCGAGCGGCCATCCAAAACCCCGACCCAGACCATCCCTTTTCAATAAACTACAACAACCCAGTCGCTGCCAGTTCCCTTCCACGTCCCCTTTTACATTTTCTTCTTTTTACAGGTATTTTGGCTCAAAGTCGGTGAGCTCCGATGAAAAAATGAGTTCCCACCACTGCGAGCTTCAAGCTCCGCGAACAACCAGACACAACCAGCAAAACGCCAACCTCCGTAGCTCCGGCAAACAAGTAATCCTCTATGTTTTATTTTTGTTGTAACTATTTTACTTCGTTCATTGCTTTTCCAGATCTGGCCGGAGTTTGATAAAGTTTGTCTTTTTCGATTTGTTGTGTTGATATTATACTGTGTTATTTTGATTTGATTGTTTATTCACAGCTTTTGTATTGATTTGCTGTTTGTTTACTCTTACAGTGGCTATGCTTTGAATTTTTTTTTATTTAAATTAAATGTTTAATGGTTAAAGAATATTTTCAATTGTGATTTCATTCTCAACTTATGGATCTTTTATTAGGATAGTTACTTTCTCATTATTTTATATTGTTAATTCGTTTTGACTTTATTCATTTGTTGACATCGAGTTATTTGTTTTAGTGTTAATTTTGTTTTTATTATGATTATTTTATTGATTGTTCTTTTGTTCCGTATGCTTATCTTATTTTTAATTGTTGTCTAATCTATTAATTTAATAGTTTAAATTATATTTGCTATATTTTGTTGGATTTAATATTGTTATTAATAATGGTGTTGCCTTCGGTAAATTTTATACTTTTCATGTTACTGTTACTTTTTGTTAATGTTAAGATAATATTTTGTCATTTTTTGTTATTGTTAATTGATATTGAATATATTTTGTTTGTTCAAAATGGCTAATGAGAAAATCTCTCTGTCGAGTTTGGAGGCCTTTACATTGTAAAAGACGAAAATTTAATTTAATTTCATATATTTTGTTTGTTCAAAATGGCCAATGAGAAAATCTCTCTGTCGATTTTGGAGGCCTTTACATTGTAAAAAACGAAAATTTAGTTTAATTTCATATATTTTGTTTGTTCAAAATGGCCAATGAGAAAATCTCTCTGTCGATTTTGGAGGCCTTTACATTGTAAAAAACGAAAATTTAGTTTAATTTCATATATTTTGTTTGTTCAAAATGGCCAATGAGAAAATCTCTCTGTCGATTTTGGAGGCCTTTACATTGTAAAAAACGAAAATTTAGTTTAATTTCATATATTTTGTTTGTTCAAAATGGCTGATAAAGAAATTACCGTCGATTTCTAAGGTTTCCCATGTTAATAAGACGGTTTTTTATTTTTAAATTAATTTTTGATTCATTTATTTTTATTCATAACTAACACTTTTACTAAGTGTCTTTACAGGTACCCGGAGGTGCTTCCTATTGAAGTTATTCGAATTAGGTTCGAATTATATTCCTATTTATATTGTATATTATTGACGATAGACAAATTTAGGTCGATTCCTATATTATTGTTTTATCATATTACTTGTGTATATTGCATGTTTATTATATTTGTACATTATTTTATTTTCATCCTCAATTTGAAAAAAATGAATTCAGTCGAAACCCACATTTGTGGATTTCAAAGGATGCCTAATCCCTTCCCTTCGAAATTACTTGAATCCCTTATCTAGAATATCTTGGTTTCGTAGATTGATTAATTGGTTTCCTAATTTTCCTAAAATTAGACAGCAATTCCTTTAAAATTCTTATTTTCTTAAAATTCTTTTAAAATTGAATCAATTGTTTATTTTTTAGTCACCATGACGTTTCGCCTTATTTGAATAGAGTAGGGATGTAAACAGCCAAATTCGAACTTTTGAAACATTACAGTAGCGTTACCAGGGGTCGGAGCAACTTATCTAAAATACACGATTATTTGTCTTTCTACATCACACTTTGTCCAATGTCCATTGTTCACTATGCCACAAAAAATAGGAAAATCATAAGGTAGAAAATCAACACAGAGTATATCTTAATCATTAGCCACCGATTTGACGAGATGCTATTGAGGTATTTGAGCAGAGCCCCTTGTGCCCCTTCCACATTTGTTAGTGCGTCATCCACGTTCTCATCAATCCTGTGACAGAAACCAAGATATTACTTTACTGCTAAAAGAATTTGCTACCCATCCCCACCCTCACCCCATTGTATCTTGATCAGAAGTCGTAACTAAGGACTATATTGTGACTTGTGAGTATCAGTTTAATATCAACAATCAGGTAGTACAAGGTTTTACACCTTACAGACAACAGGAGAAGCACCAAACTTTAAGTGGAAGGCACCATTTTACAAGATTCTAAATACAGATAGCTCAAAGTACAAAAAACTTCCATCAACTGTCAGATTTTTCTCTAACCAATATGGGGATAAAGCAGTAAACCTTACTTGTTGATTGCACAAACATCATATATGAAGAACATTTATAACATCTCACGCAAATTTGACTTCAAATATTATCAATTATGTACAAAAGATTTACTTGTAAATGAAAAGAAGTGTGCCAAGGCCAAGAATTAAACTACATGTCACAATAGAAAGAGGCGTTAAATAAAATGTGATGGTGGGGTTCATTGAGAGTACACACATCACATTTTATGTTAACCACAAGTAGATATGCATATCATGTTAATGACCCTTGAGGAACTTCAAAAGCTCAATTTAACAAAGAACTTACCAATTATTATTTTTAAGAACTGAGAAGAATTAGCCCGTTTCTTCCAACATAAATATGAATGAAATAATATAAAAGACACTAGGTCTTCTAATCCCTCTAACTAGCAGATGGTGGATGCATGATCCGATCCCATATTGGAACGTTAATGTTTCTCAGTCCAAAAGTTCATGCAAAGGTTAAAAAATTAACTTTTACCATGCAAAATAGGATATCAACAAGAGAAGACATCAAAGTATTGATCAGAGTGATCATCCAAAACTAGTGATTAGTTGATAGAAATTAACAAACAAAATATTCATTACTTGCCATCTCACATATTTAACTTTACGTCTTTACAACTAGGAGACTACATTGGTGCCAACTGGTTGTACAAAGATAACTATGAAAATACGATGCATTGAAATCTCCTAAATCCTTCTATTATCATCACCATTATTATTATAATTATTATAATAAGAATTATTATTATTATTATTATTATCTTCATCATCATCATCGTCTCCTACATCTGTTTATTTTCTGAGTGCAAAAACAATTGTTATACAAACCTGACTGCAACCTCCCCTTGCTCAGAAACCAAGGTAGCAAGCTGATTAAAAATGCTGCCCAGCTCATGGATAGTAGACTCGGCATTTTGAAAAGCTTCAGCTCTACTCTGCATGTAGCTGTCTTGCAATGGAACTATCTGCTGCTGCTGCTGTTGTTGATCCTGCAACAATGGCTGTGTGTTTCCATCCCCTTGCTTCCTACAAGAGGGGAAAAACTTAGTGATACTTAAAAAACCCAAAGCGAGCACGAAAAACAGATGTAGAACAGGGTCTGGTTTACCTTAGTTAGTTTTCCAGATAATCATTACAGTTTGGACAAAGAAAAGTACCAAAGGATGTTATTTTTGGGACAAGTAGAAGTAGACAAGGATGCTAATATATAAATTGTTTTGTACATCTGAAGAGAAGCTTCTCATGTCTGTTTTCTTTTTAGTGCACCCATGAAATTCATATTTGTATAGATGGTTGGGTGTTTTCTTTTGTAGAAAATCATATTTTGCTGCAGATTTTTTACTTATTGGTATACTGCTTGGTTGCTAGCATATGAGAGTTCTTCCAACCATTAATAAACATTATTTAACTTATTAAAAAAGTGAATGACCATGTGCCTTACAGCTACACCTAAATCCAAAGCTAGTTGGGGTCAGACAAGACATATGAATCCCCATTGTCCATTTAGACTCATCTCATGCCAATATTCTATAAATTTAGGTTTTCTAACCCTAAAAATACACTACATTCTCAACTTGCACACAAACCCCCAACAAAATAAGAAAAACTCTTAGCAAATGTTGGACTAATTTGACTGTACCAACAAGATTTAGCCTTAAGCTCAACTAGTTGAGGATCTTTTTCTTCTATTATATTCTATTTTTTGCCAAGTCTGCATGGATTTTAAGAGATTGTAGATCTCTCAAAATGACTTCCTTTCTATGATTTTAGGTCTAACTTGTTTTGTAACATCTTCAACACCACCAAAACTAGCCTTTGTAGGCTCACCTAGGCCCTTTGACTAAGCAGGAACCAGAATAGAACAAGGCAATAAAAACCCCCACCAGTGACATGCATTTATTTCAATTGCCTACAATAAGATGGCTCCAATGATGATAACTCATCTTTACCCTCCCGTCCCTCAGCTACTTCGTTTGGACCTTATAGGGCACCATCTGTCGTGGTGGGGTCATCTTTATTGACCATAGCACAAACACTACCACCGCTGCCTCTATTTTACTTAACTTTATACTACATTGTTATTTGTACTCCGTAAACTTAATAACCATCACTGAGTATTGTCATATTCAAGTGTTCTAACATATATAATACTTTTTGATCAATTTGTGCCATTTGACAAAAAATGTGGCTAAAACTATAAAATTTATTGAAATAACACAAATTTGGCTAGAATTAAAAGAGGGAGAGAGATATTAAGATATGATCAAATAGATAACCAACAAATATAGCAACACGAGAAGAATGCACAAAGTTCCAACACAGGCAATTAGAGTAACTAGGTAATAAGTCAAAAGAGTGTAAACAATACAATCTTAGTATACTGATAGAAGATAAATAATGAAATGATAAAAGAAGGCCCATGGGAGGAAACAGACAAGGGAAGAATAGTGTGTGTTAAAGGGGAGAGGCATGGGGAAATGTGGGTAAGGGGTAAGAGTGTACCATTTAAATTTCTCATGATTTTTAAAGCAAAAGATCATGTGAAACCAAACTTCCAGGAGATCAGCCCCCAATCATTTTAACCAGATAGAGATCAAAACTTCCGACCACTTGAACTGTTACCAAACAGCATTCATCCAAACAAGGTGTGTGTCTTATTCAATTTCACCAAGTCAAGAATATAAGTTTCATGGAAGAAAGGGGTTAAGAAAAATTTGGATCTAGTAACAGATTAGACAAATAGGATAAAATAAAGGTACTTAGTATTATCGTAGATCATGTTTGGAGAAGCTATTATACGGACTGTCCAGTAGTTAACTCAGGGAGACAGATTAGGCCATAGACTGAAAAGGTTATTCCCACGAGAGGAATAGCTATCTCCTCTCTTTCAACCTTTAACAAATGAATCATTTGTAATTTCTTTTTGGCATCAACATGGGTAGATCAGTAATCATGTCAAGATTACCAAAAGCAAAGGTTGGAAAGAAGAACAGACTCCTAGGGTTTCATCTATTCTTTTGAATTAGTTAAAATCATTGTAATAAAAATATAGCAAGCAAGACATTCCCATAATTACAAAAGAAACTCATGGCCACTAATATGTTCAGTGATAGCAGGCCTGTAAGGCATGAACTGCTAAGACGGTGTATTTCCTCACCTTGGAAATAACTGAGAAGAAGAAGCTGAATCATTAGCCCAAGGAGGGGGACTGGCTGATGTAATAGCAGTATTCCTTGAAGCTAGTGGACAACAACAACATACCCAGTGAAATCCCGCTAGTGGACGCTGGCGCATAAATGGATTCGAAGCTTCTTTGGTAGTCGATGAAGAAATCATCTGTCTTCTGTTCTCATGAACCTTCATATTCTGAAAACAGAAATTCAAGAAAATGTAAATGACCATGATGAAGTGTATTTTTTCTACTGTTAACGACCAAAAAGTTGAAGGATACATGTAGCCACAAAAAAAATAGTAAATAGAAGCCTTCGCTAAATTGAGACTCACAAAAGATCTATTTGAGTAAGAAAAAAGGATAACAAAGAAGATATAACCAGCATCTGGCTAGTCTCACCTCTGTCCGCATGGTGAGTACTTCTTTGAACTCCTTTGTGGCAGTCATCAGCCTGTTCTTCAAGCCATCTACAACAGTTGTCGAGTGACTAGTGGTATCACTATTACCACTTTCATTACGAGAATTAGAGTGAAGCTGGAGATCTACTACAGCAGAGTTAAGTGCTGTAATATCTTGATTGATGACTGCAGTCAGCTCCTGGATTTCTGTAGTCGGATCATCAAAATCGGAAGTCCTTTTTGCCACTGGAATGAAACATAAACCACTATTAGATAAAGATCAGAAACCTTGGCCCTGATTATAATCACAACATAAATAAGTGTCAAAGAGCCAAGGCCCTGGTATAAACCAATAATATGTTTAAAAAATAAAATAAGGATCAACATCTCTCTTTTACAGTTTGAGAAGAAACCAAAGCATAAATGGTCAGGTTAGTAGGAACATGAAATCTAGGGAGGGACTGCAGTATTAAAGATAAACTTGAACAAGAAAATCCATTATGGTCCTTGAGGACTTGAGAAGATTAGATTTAGCCCAAGTTGCATAGAC